AAAGAATTAAAGTAAATCTACCCAACATCTCTGCATGGTTTCACCTTAGAAACTTCACTCATGTGTCATAGACCTCTCATCCGGGGGAGATTTACTCTAAGAGGCAAGACAGAGCCGAAGTTTGATACCACCATGGGCAGACACTGAGCTGCCTGTGAGTTTCCCAGTTGTATTTATGGAATGTTGTTTAGGTCATTTTCTTCCTTCCAGCAACACTGATGTCACAAGCAAACCACAAGATATACCTCTGAAGCATCCCCAGGAAGATAGCAACACCTCCATTCCTGTGTTCTCTGAAATTCAATAACATGTTCCCTAGCTGATAGAGTAAGCAGAAAGTGTCACTCTCTGCAGAAGTGTCGTAAATCTTGGCTTTGTCCCCAAGATAGCTTTTTGGGTATTGGTTACATATCAAAGTCTCTGAGTAATGGTCAAGGGGCTTTTTATTAAAGCCCACGTCTCAAATTATCTCTCCCACTCTTATGATATATTATGTATGAACTTTTAAAAATTCATGGGCTCTGCATTTTTCCCCTGTACTTAGGGTTAGCTTTGTGCTAGTGAAAAAGCCCCAAAAAAAAAAAAAAAAACCCTTTTTCGAAAAAAAAAAAAAAAAAAAAAAAAAAAAAAAAATCAGAGAACACAAACCATTCAAGTTGGTTAATCCAGAACAGAACGAAAAAGACACATTTGTAGCAGAGCAAATATGCACTTTTCCAATTAAATTATGGATGTACATAAGATAATGTTGGAAATGAAACCAAAATGCCCTTTCAACAAAGATAGGATTTGATAATTGTGTGTTTCCATTGACAACTCTGCTCAGTGGAATGTGTGCTGTTCTGTGGATCCCTGGGAGGTTGGCTCCCTATGTGGCCCTTATTGGACACTGTAACATTATGGCTAAGATTTTTAGCTCAGAGTCCTATTTACTTGTCTGGTTGCTGCAACAAAATACCTGACAAAAGCAACTTAAGGGCAAGATGGTTCATTTGGGCTCACAATTCCAAAGGATGCATCCATTATGGTAGAAGGCATCTCTGTATGAACAGTAGATGGGAACATGGTGTCCACAGTCAGTAGGCAGAGAATAGAGAGGAAGAGGGACTGATACAAGAAATGTGTTCACAGCAGGAAATATATCTTAGCCACAGCCACAGGAAGAAAGACAAAGAAAGCTGTCTATCTGTATGTATTTCCAGAAGATTCTCTCAGTTGTCCTCGGAATACTGTGCACCCAGTTTGGATTATTGTGTAAGACAGTTATCTCAGAACTTAAGTGCAAAAATCTGATACTGGTGGGATCCCAAGAAATGTAAAATAAAGTTATTGGGGGGGTTGTAAATTTATGGTTTAGTTGAAGAGGCTCAGTGTGTGTGTGTGTGTGTGTGTGTGTGTGTGTGTGTGTGTGTGTGTGAGAGAGAGAGAGAGAGAGAGAGAGAGAGGGAGAGAGAGAGAGAGAAAATTCAAAATAGCAACAACACCTAGAACTAGAACTTATTAAGTCCACCATATGCTGAAGACTGCTTAGCCTTCACAATTACCTGGTATATCAGGTGTCTCAGTGACCTCCACTGACTAAAAAGGACACCAGGACACAGAGGGGTTAAGTAACTTCCACCCCCCCCCACCAAGTTCAAAGAGCTAGGCTATGGAAGCAGCCTGATTCAAACCTCAGAAATAGCCTCGGGAGTCAAGGGCTTGACCACAGAACAGCTATTAACCAGAATATGTAAAGGCTGATCCATAACAGCAGAGGAAAGCCTCCTTTACAGTCATAGAATTCTATTCTAAATGCCTTTTAAATTAAGCCATCCATGTCTACAGTGGGGCAAGGACGGAGCTTCCCAAATGGAGGATTAGCTCTACCTACTCTGTGGATAATTCCTCTCTAACCAGCTTACACATATGTTCTACTTCCTCTCAAACCCACCAGTGTTAGAGATGAAGATGGGTCCATAGAAATGAAGCTGAGACAGAATTACCTTTCATGAGGACTTTATTAAGAGAAGTGTAGGCTTGCAGCAATAGCCACAAAATTGGAGAGCAGTAGGGGAGATAGTCACAGTGTGCATCATGCTAGGACCCTGAAGAGAGAGAGCCTTCACTCCCTTCAGTTTCCATAATATTAATAGAGGTGTGGCATCATAGTGTAGACAGTTTGATGGGGTTTTGAAGGGAGAGAACCTTCAATTCTGTAAGATGAAGGGAATTTCCAGTTCTTATAGACTTTATTGCACACACCAGAAGTCTTATCATGGAACTACTAGATCAGAGCCTGCAGTTGAACAAGATCCCCTATATGATTTGTGTGCACATGAAAAGCATGTATTAATAAACCTCTTTGCTTAATCTCTCCCATTACTGCCAGCTTCACATGTTACGGGCCCCAACCCCTAAGTGTCTTTATATCTCTCATCATTCAAGATCAACTCCAAGGGAGAGCTGGGAGTTTTTCCTCAAGTCTACCCATCTTCTACATTCTATCTTCCTGTCAATTAATTCATTCTCTAAAGGGCATATGAATATGGATAATGCCTGAACAAGAGGGCTTCTGCTTTCTCAGGCTTAGGCATTGAGTTGAACTGTACAAAACAGGTATGGCTTTGCTAGATAGAGTGGGTAGCAATAGGTGGGTAAGACAGGAAATCCCAACTAAACTGTGGTACCCTGGGAGAAAGAAGAACAAAGTCACCAGAACCCATGCAGAGGATAGAAAGCCATTGGAAGTGTTTACCTCTAGGGCACTTGGCAATGTGTAGACTATGTTGCTTCCAGGGAAGTGAGTGACTCTATCAGAGCAAAGGCAGTCCTAATTAACAACTGCTACCAGATAATCCCATAACACAATATGAAAGACTAGAATAGAGACATGGAAAAACTATGAAGTAAAAGTGGAAGCTATTGTGATGTTTCTGGAACTTTATGTAGGATGAATTTTACATGTCTATATTAGCAGAGGCATTAATACAAGGTTATCCTGCAGAATGCAGCCAGTGAGGTCTAAGGATGCAGTTGGTAAAGAGCTTGCACAAAGCCCTGGATTCCATCTCCAGTACCATACACACTGAGCATGGTGGTGCATGACTTTTAGCCCAGCACTCACAAACTCGAGGTAGAAGGACCAGAAGTTCAAAGTCATCCTTGGAGTTGTGGTTTGAATGTGAAGTGCTCTCCCCGAAAAGGCTTGCATGTTTGAACAATTGGTCCCCAACCCATGGCACTGTTTTGTAAGGTTATAGAACACTTGGTAGGTGGAATCTCACTGAAGGAAGTCAATCACTAGGAAATGTGCCTTTAGGTTTCATAGCCTACAGACCACTCCCATCCTTTCTCTGCTTCTTGAGTATGGAAACAACAGGACCAGCCAGCCTTTTCTTTCCTCCACCATGTCTTCCCTGCCATGATGGACTGTATCTTTCTGGAGCTATTAGGCAAAATAAACCCTTTACCATCCAAGTCACTTTTGTCAGAGCATTTCATCACAATAGGAAAAGTAAGTGAGAAACACGGCCACATAGTGAGCATAAGGCCAGCCTGGGCTGCATAGAGCCTCATCTGAAGAAAAAAGAAAGAAAAGAAAATGAATAGAGATACAGGTACTTGTTAAGAACAAGTATAGGCTTACTTTATGTTATATCTAATAATACACAAGGGCATCATTGGTAGATGGTGCTGAAAACTGAATCTTGAGATGTTTCTCCTGTCATGATACTTAGTCCCAAATTTCAGTGAGGAGAAATATTAAAAATTCTTGGCATATTTTAGAGATCACTTAAAGAGATCATTATGCAGCAAAAATAAAGTATCTATAGCAAGGCCGATGAAATGATTGAGTGTTATAGTTATTGATTAGTGAACAAATTCAATGTGCCCTCTGTAGTCTATGAGAGTTTAAGGTTTACCACACATACTCTCCAATCATTGCTGCCATGCCGGGCCCTGGCTGGGGTGTTTCTCACCATCATTTAGAATTGCATTTGCAGGACAGTGATAAGTACTCAGGTACTAATGGCACCCATAACGTGTCAATAAATTGCATAAGTAAGAGGCTTCACACCTCTGCAAGTCACACAAAGACAGATGGCTTCCTACTGGAGAGTTTCAGAGACAAGGCTTTCTAAAGATAGGCTGGAATTAGACGGTAATAGAGAGCTCTATTCTCCATCAGGATGCTAAATTAATTTAGCCTGTCCAGTCTGCAGAGCTTCCTCTGTTACACCTGCAAGGTGGCTGTCAAGATTCACATGGCTGTTTACCACTCTGTTGCCTGTGCTTTATGTAGGCTCTGAAGAATTCTAACCACCTGGGCCTTCTCATAGGTCCCTGTCTGTGAGCTATGCGGGTTGTTATCATTCACACAACCAAGCAGACATGAAAAGTCCTGTGATGTTTTAAATGGAGATTTGTGACCCCCGAGCTTTATGCCTGCGGCATATGACGTCTTACAAGGCTGTACAGACGACTGGAGTGTATATAGTAACTGACATTGAATAGCTTCCCAACAAGAGGGGAACCTAGGAGTGGTATGGTAGAGCTGCCCACTCTACAAATGAGTTCATTGAGAGGAATAAGCACAAGACTGCAAAGTGTGTAGCAGTGTATAACCTGATCTGGACAGGTAAGTAAAGCCTAATGCTGATGCTCTTGAACCCCATCTTCAAGAATGTGTCTTCTTCCATCTGGAGCATTTGGGGTGTATTATTGTTGTTTTGCTCTGCAATACTGGAGATTGAACCCTGGACCTCATATATACTCATAAAACATTCTCCCACCAGATATACTCCCTGACCCCAGTCTTTATTTGACATTACACACACACACACACACACACACACACACACACACACACACACACACACACACACGGCAGAGCCAAGATCTGAGCCTAAGGTCTGCTTGTCTCCCAAGGTTGAGCTTCTAGCCACTTACTCTAAGTTCTCTGGGTGCTTACTTCATCTGAAGCCAAGATTTTGCTCAACCCTATCCTGCTTTTACAGGAACATCTCCAGAATGCAAAATCAGGAACCCCTGCCCTGAAACACTCTGGCTTAGGGGGAGTCATCCCTGATCACCTCTGTCCTCGAAACAGCTGCAGCAGCAGTGAGCTGTCACTGTCAAGCACCTGCAGCGAGTACTCCAGTGGCTCCTCCTACACGTGGCACGACCAGAAGCTCATTGGGAAAAGGGTAAGGCTCCTATCAGGCAAGTCCGCCTCAGAGAACACAGAGAGAATTCTGTGCTAGCCGGAATTTGGTCACAGAGGCAGAGGGGGTGCTGGTAAGGAAATGGCCATTTGCTGAATGGTTGCCCATGGGCCATTAGACTGCCACTAATCAATGCTGTGGGCTCATGAAACACCACACAGGATGGGGCTGGACACCAGAGAACTGCAGAGCAACCAGATAAAGTACTGGGAGAAGACATCAGGAGCAAGGTTTTGATGAAAGGGGCCCTGTTCCTACTTACATGCCAAGAATGTCTTCCCTGGTATTTGTTTACTTCATTACTCTATTTTATTTGTGTGTGTATGTGCATGTAAACACACATATGTGTACATATACATATATATGTAAATACACATAGATATATGTATTGGTGCCTGTGGAATCTCAAAGTCAGCCTTTGCTATCCTTCCTCAGGGGCTGTCCATGTTGTTGTTTAAGACACAGCCTGTCTCTGGTATGGAACTTGAACTTGTCTGGCTGGCCAGTGAGCCCCAGGGTTCCACTCGCCTCTGCCTCTTCAGAACTAAAATTGCACCCCAGCTTTTTTGTGGTGCTTCTGGGGCTCTGATCTCAGGTTCTTGTTCTCATCCTTAGATGTCAAGCACTTACCTAACCAAGCCATCTCCTTAGCCCGTTTCCAGGATGTGAGACAGTCACTGTTGCAAGAGTGCCTCCCATCTGCAGGGAGCTCACAGGACTGCAGGAGCCTCTGAGCTAGCTTCCTTGCCTATTGGAACAAGCCAAGTGTTTCAATATAGCTGTTTTAGCAGCTCCCCAAACTTAGAGGAAAGCAAAGTACACCAAGATGGAAACTGAAAATCTGAGTATTCAGGGGTGACTTTTCCACAGTTTGGATGAGTTTCAGCCATACGTTCAGCAGTTTGGAAACCAAGAAAACTCCAGAACTCATAGACTCTGCTGGTGAGGGAGTAGCTTTGTCATCTGCTGAACCAGAGCTCAGAAAAAGATTTTCAGCTAGCATTTTGAGGCTATTCCTATAGACTTGGGATTCTAATGCAAAGCAGAGAGCCAGCCACATTATGTAAATTGCTCGAATAAGGTGTAGTTCAGAGCACTGAATAATAACTGCCAGGGCCCTGGCCAAGCCGGCTGAGACTGTGGTCAGGGAGGTTTTCTTATCTCACTGTGTCCGTGAAAGTTATTGGTACCCATGACCCCCTCCTATTCTTACTTTATCTCGTGGATGTGTGTGTGTGTGTGTGTGTGTGTGTGTGTGTGTGTGTGTGTGTGTGTGTGTGCTTACTTTTAACCACAGAGACCAGAAAAGGGCATTAGACCTATTGTAATGAGAGTTATGGATATGAGCCCCCTCCCCTCAATGTGGGTGCTGGAAGTTAAACTTGAGTCCTCTGAAGGAGCTGCTAGTGCTCTTAACTGCTGCTTAGTTCTTTACCAGCCTCTTCTCACTGTTCTCATACTGCTTCCCCTTTCTCTCCAATGGCCCTTTTTAACTTCCTTTATTTTTAGGTGTGCATTCGGGTATGTGCATGTTTGTCTGTAGGCCAAAGGACAGCCTCAGGTTGTTCCTTGGGAGTCTTCTACCCTTCTTTTTTTTTTTTTTTTTTTTTTTTTTTTTTTTTTTTTTTGAGTCAGGACCTCAAGTTGATCTAGGACTCTGGGATCGGGCTAAGCCCCAAGGGTCACTTGTACATGCCTTGCTAGTGCTTGGATTAAAATTACCCAGTCCCATGCCCAACCTTTTTACTTGGGTTCTAGGGATCAAATTTGAGTCCTCATGGTTGCATGGCAAGAACCACCTGGAAATTATGCCTGCCTATCTAAAAAATAATTGGTGGACATTCTTCTAATCAGAGCAGTATTTGATAGACAAGGCAATCTCTCCCCTGAAACAGGGAAAAAATGCTTAAGATCCTTCAGGGACACTCAGATGGCCACCCAGTCATAATCCAGTGTACCTAAGACAGTTTACAGCCTGCAACAATTCACAGCATACTCTTTCAGTTCTCAGGTTCCCAGCTAGCTCTGTCTGGACCCTCGAGACATTTTAAAGTTATATTATTTATAGAATTTCTGCAGTTTGTGCCTGGTGTCAGGTGTTCATTTAGTATTAACTTACATAATAAATCACAGGATTCTGAACAGGAACACATTGTTAAATTATATAATAATAAATGTGTGAGTAATAGCTTTTGGAGCTCACAACTATTTTTTAAATATCATTTGTTGTAGAAACAGAAAGAAAAGCTTGTCTAAAATCCACTAGCTTGTCTCAGCAGGGAAATCTGGCTCTTATAGATTCAGTTACTACCATGTGTGGCCCACTCTTTAAAAAAAGTAAACATTTTATTTAAAATGCAGTATCTTGTATTCCTTTTTAAAAATTTATTTTATATGTTCCAATCCCAGTCCCTAACTGATGGACTATGACATGGAAGTAAATCAAATAAACTTTTTCCTTTCCCAGGTTGTTTTTTCAGTTGTGATATTTTATCACTGCAACAGAAAGCAAACTAGGACATATATCAAACAAAAATGACATTTTACACACATATATATATACATATATATGCATGTGTGCATGCTGGGTATATGTGAATACAGGCAGTGCTTTTTGTTTTTTGTTTTTTGTTTTGTGTGTGTGTGTGTGTGTGTGTGTATCATTTCCTTGATGTTATCCATTTTCTTTTGACACATAGTCCTGTGTGGCTGGAACCATAGTTCAGTTTGGCTGTCTGGCTGCAGCAAACCCCAGGATCCTGCCTGGCTGTGCCTCACCTGTGCTAGGATTCTAAACACATGCCTCCATGCCTGGCATTTTTTAAAGGGGGTTCTGAGGATCAAACTGAGGTGAGGTCCTCATGTTTACATACAAATTTTCTGCTGACTGAACTATATTCCAACCCTGATTCTTCCCAGTTTTCAGTTTAGAAAACCAAGGCTCTGAGAATGTACATAACCAGGAACATGGTAGTGCATGGTAAAACCAGGCATTAGTTCTAAAAACTTCACTGTTAATGGTTCTGTTATCCTGGACTTGTTGAGTCATCCTTACCCACAGAGGGGTTATACCTGTTCTTGGCATGAAATTATTCCAACAATCCCTTCTACTAACAATAAGTAAGATTTAATATTTCCCTGCCAAGAGATAGAAAGGCACTAAGGACATTAAACCCTGCCCCTAGCTCATCAGAAGCACCCTTCAGTCTTCTGTGCCACTCCCTAAGAACTCTTGTCCAATTTTGTTGAACAAAGAATGTAGCAATTTCAGGAAATGGCCCTCCCATATTCTCATGTTCCTTCTCATGTTCCCCTGCCAGCTTTCAAAATAGGTTCCAAACTTTTCTCAGCTCACTTGCCACTGTAACCTCCCATGGAAGACTTGGGATGGGGGGCATGTGGCTTATCTCATCAGGACTTCCCAGCCTCTGGCTTTAATGGTGTATAAAATACAGCATGAGCAAGCTCTGGATGGAAGAGAAGAGGTGGGTGGGCAGGAGCTGAGCTTGCCTCCTGTGGGCTAAACAGGTCTGCCACTGTCAAGCGCTTGCAGGCTCCTGTTTACTTGCTCCTCATTTCTGCTATTAGTGTGACTCTCGGGACCATGGGAAATCTCAGAAACACACTCCGTGGAAGCCCATTTTCTGTTCTATCTACAATACCCCAGATCTCTGATGGGATTTCTTCTGACTTCCAAAGGAGCTTTGAATGGTGCAATTTCCCAAAATTAAAGAACAAAACTCCAAGAGGAAAAGGGCCGTGTCAGCAAATCACATCTGCCCCCAGCAGCTCCAGGCACTGGAGGGTTTGCTGAAAAAAATAAATAATTGGACTTCAAGACAAATAAATGTGTGTGCTGGAGATAGCAAGAGTAAATTTCATGAAAATGGCTTAGATATATATAATCCAATGTCCACAGCTTACCCATCAGCTCAGGTTCTGATAGAAGTTACTGGTACTTTTTAATGTCTGCATTTAGTTGATATTCAGACTTGTTGGCAGGGGGTAGCTAGTATAGTGATCCTCTGAAATAGCCATATTTGTTCGAAAAGTCATCTGCCATTAGTCATGTTGAAAGGTCCCCAGCAGGGCTGGAGAGATTGGCTTGGTGCTGAAGCATGTATACAGCTCTTGCAGAAGACCCCAGTTCAGTTCCCATCAGCCACATAGGACCACTCACAACCACCAGCTCCTCTTCTGACCCCTGTGAGCACCCGTACTCATGTGCATATGCCAACCCACAGACACATGCACATACATGTGATTAAAAACAAAATGATAATTTATCCAGTTGGTCAGCCCCTCAGTGTTCCACTGCGCTAGTTTCTTATTTAAACTCTGCAGTGCCATTGGAGAAACACTAAGAAACCTGGTGATTTCTGTTTAACATGCAGCTAATACAGAAGGGAGACTAGAAGTTATACTACATGCAGCAATACAGCATCCAGATTAAGAGTGCAGACTCCAGAGATGGCAGCCCAAGTTCATATTCCACACTTGCCACTTTGGGATGGAAACGAATTTAACAGGGTTACAGAAAGAAATAATAATAGTAATAATAGTAATAATAATAGTCCAAATGTTTGCTGCAAATTCCAAATCTTCTGTCTCCGAGACCTGTCACAGAACAGATTTTCTGGACCTCAACAAAATGAAAGGGTAATGGTGTCTGTCTCGTGGTGATCTGAGGATACAGATACAGCAGCATGCCAGCAGTTGGTATACAGCAAACACTCAGTGCTCATTAGTTTACTCCTTTGCTTCTCTGCTTCTTGTTGCCAATGCTGTGAAAGAACCACAAATGTGAGGAACACCACCTTTCATTTCCCATCCACTTTTTGAAGATAAGGCTGGCATTTGGGAAAGTGCAAGGGCAAGAAGTTGACCTGCTAACTTCAGTGGAGGAGTAACTGCCACAGGGGTGGGACTGCTAATGCCCACTTATTCAGGTAGATAAGCGTACATTTGCATGCAGGTACACTCATAACTTCAGACACCGTTCCTAGACACTCACAGGACTGTAAAATGTTGGAGTGGAACGGTGAATTGTTTCCTCTCCTGGCTCCTTCCTCTGTTGTGCCTGGACTCCCTACAATGTCTTCTGCCAGTTCCCTAAGTACAACTTGAGCATATTTTCCTGACTTGTGTCCTTGAACATTCTGTTTCTTCCATCTGGAAGACATTTCCTCACTTAGAATATTAGGTAAGCCCACATGTCATTCAAGGACTAGTTCAGTTAAAAAAAAAAAAAAAAAAAGTCAAATGGCTTTCCAGTATACCTTTTACATCTCTCCAGATAGACCCATGGGTCCTCCCATGAACCTCTAGAATAGCCACCCTATTCCTACCTCTTGTATGCATGTTCTTGACATAAGAGTCAGCTGTGCTAAAGGCCCCTCACTCCAGTTGAGTTTTCTACCCTTAAAGGCATAGTTTTTGCATCCCTTTTCTTTATTTTACCACGATGCTTAGCACGGGATCTTGCAAATCAATGTTTACTGCATAGTTAGCATTGTACAAACTGTTTATATGTGAATATTTATCACCCACTTATACAAATTAAATCTACTGAGGGGCTTTTTCTTTGTTTACTTGATATCTGTTTTGTTCAATCATCTCTGATATCTATTTTTCTTTCTTAGCAATCATCACAGAACTGGGATAAAAGACTGAGTATCGATTCTTCGCTCCCAAGTGGCTTTGCCAGCCCTGCAGATGAACTACCTCCAACCCGTATCAAAGAGAGCCACATTTTGGAAGGGCTGAGGAAGCTACAGAAGCGGAAAGTATTACTTGAACCACCTTCAGTGATAACCAAATGGGGTTATAAAGATTGCATGAACTCCAATGAAGGGATCTATTCTCCGGGAACTAAAAATAGCAGCCTCAAGGAGTATCCCCCCTGCCAACCACCTGGCATAGGAATCCCCTGCAAGGATCTCCATCATTCCTTTATCTATGATGCAAATTCTCATGAGAATGCAGACGAAGACTCCCCACCCTCAGCTTTGCTGCAAGCAGCTCCAAGCCTGAGCTGCAGGATGCAGGGTAGTAAATTAACCCACAGTGTTTCAGACAGTCTATTTAGCTGGGAGCCACATGGAAAATACTTCTCAGAAGGTACAGTTTCAGTTTATACAAGAGAAATGCCTGAAAGGCTAGTTCGTTGTGCTAGCCACTGTCCCTTGGAGAGGAAGCTACGCCCCAGCATGCACCTGCCGTGGGTACAAAGAGACAGGGACCCAAGCAGCCAAGGTCATGGCTATGTGGCCTTGACCCTTCCGCTTTCAGACACTGATGACAATGAGACCCTAAATGAGCTGCACATAGAGAGCAGCGATGAGAGAAGCCCTTCAGACCTGTCATTGACCGGGGACACTGACAAGTCCATGGAGAACCTAGACGTTGGATCTGGAAAGTCTGAATGTAGCTCTCGTGATGTGGAGGAAGAAGAATGTCTCACCCACTTAGAGACAAGGCCAAAGACATTTGGTTTCATCAGGCAGCAAAGGGTTGTCAAGAGAACGTCTTCAGAAGAATGTGTCACAGTTGTATTTGATGCAGAAAATGGAGAGCCCGTTGAATTCAGCTCCCATCAGACTGGAGTTGTCACTGTGACCAGGGATGAAATTTCCATCAACTCAGCCCCTGCTGAGCCCTCAGAACTCACTCAACTTTCACCTCAGGGAATTACTCATTTACAGCCAGGAGCTATTGCAAGAGACTGTCCTTTTCAGAAGAGACCTGAGGAGGAGACTGAGAAAAACATTCCAAAAGATGAGAGCAGTATCCCCATAGCGCTGACTGACTCTGTTGGACCCAGGACTATAGTAACTCAGAATTCCCCACGACCAAAGCTCACCAAACCAACACAAGGTGTAGCCTGGCAGAGTAATTCTAGACCTGGGGCAAACATGGGTGTTTATGCACATCAAGGTCTGACAAAAATTCCTTCCAGAGGCAAGTCTACACCTCAGAAATCAAAACTGGTGGAGCCTGTGCCAGCCATGCTACTCCCCTCCAGTGGCCTAGTGACTCTTGAGAAGACACCAGCATCCCCTCCAGGGAAACTTCCACAATGCAAAAAAACAGAGAGCCCTGATTCTCTCTGTGATGTGAAACCAGAATCACACATTCCAAAACACCCCACCCAGCTTCCTCATGTCACCAAAATTTCCAATAAGAAGAATTGGGTTCAGTGTCCCAAGAGTCAGGCTCCAGGGATCCAGTCACATCTCATGGGGAGCGGTAACCATGGTGAATCCCCCATGAAGGCCAAACACTGTGGCTCCGGGTCAGAGACAAGAGTGAGGTCTCCCTCCCCTCCACCCCCTCCAGGGAGGTCAGTCTCCCTCCTGGTCAGACCCATTTATGACTATCCACCACTTCTATCACCTGCTAAACCCGAAACTCGGGTCCCTAGGGACACTGTAAGTCCGGTGGTGAAATCCCCACCATTGAAAGGAGCCTCTGTTCCTGTCATCTCTCCCAGCCCAGCCACGTCAGAAGTGCAGAAGAAGAAAATTTCTGTGGCTTCCAAAAAGCCTACCTTCCCTCCAGCTCCTCCCCCTACAGATGCAGTGGTGCACACATCCTCCAGCTCATTTGATGTGATGGCTCCAGGGCCTCCAAAGGTCTCTCCAAAGAGAGGCATCCCCAGACCTCACCCTCACCAAGCCCTGGGAACCACACACATGGACACAGAGTTACAAACACCCAAAACTTATCCTTCAAATCAAGAACTGTTAGAGGTAGCATCCTCGAAAAGCTTGTCTCCAGGGAGAAAAGGACAGTTGAGTGACAGCTCTATGATACTCCACAGGCCTTCCATCTCAGGGACGAATGAGTCCTTGACATCTCAGGTTAACAGTCCCTCCCCATCTTCCTCATCCTGCAGAAGCCAGGGCACATCACAAAGCCGTCAAAACCCTCCCGAGAAAGGACCGAAAACTCGCCTCCCAGTAGGACTCAAAGTTCTCATGAAGTCTCCTCAATTGCTCAGGAAAACGTCCGTGGTTCCAGGGAAACAAGAAAAAGATAGTTTAAATGAAGCTTCTAGAAGTTCTGTGACTTCCAACAAGTCTAATCCCGAGGACTCCAGAGACCCAGCAAGTCTGGAGGCCTCAGGAGATGAGAGAAAAACAGCCTTGCTAGGTCCACGAGATCTGGACAGTGTAGCTGGAGGGCTTCCCTTAGAGTCAGCATTGCCAGAGTCATTGGAAAGCAGCATCTCCAAAGCTGATGGAAGGGATGGGATGGAGAACAGATGGGTAAAAAGATCCTTCTCCTCCAGCAAGCCACATCTAAAGCCAGCTCTAGGCATGAATGGAGCCAAAGCTCGGAGCCAGAGTTTCAGCCTCCATTTGGGAGAGAAGCCCTCCACTCCCCCAACAGAAGGGCCAGGCAAGATTCGAACTCAGATCATTACCAACACAGCTGAGAGAGGCAATTCCCTCACCAGGCACAACATCTCCATGGAAGGGTCCCCAAGCAAGAGCTCCTGTGTCTCAACATCTGATAAACTTCCCAATGTGGGAAGGCCTGTAGAGCAGACCTTTTCCAGGCAGAGTTCCCTCTGTAGCACAGGAAGCTCTGGAAGCCAGCATGGAAGCCCAAGCAAACTACCTTTGAGGATGCTCACAAGGCCAGAAGAACTCACCACCCCTGGAGTGGAAGACCAACAGGAAGAATGTCCTGGAATGGATGTAGTACATGAGCAATCTAGCAGTGACCACCACAGGCATCCATCCACCCCATCAGACTGTGCTGAGTCCCTGCAAATCCCAGGGAGGATGCAGCATCCAAGCAATTTGGAAACAAGTGGGATATATGAGCTAGAAACTTCTGGATGCCATCCAGAGGCTTCTCCAACTGGGCATGGTATCATGAGCCCAGAAGCCCCCCTCTCACCCTCCATTGAAGAAAAGGTCATGTTGTGCATTCAGGAGAATGTGGAAAAGGGCCAAGCACAGACAAAGTCTGCCTCTGTGGAAGTGAAGCCCAGGGCAGGGCCTTCATTCACCAGCTGGTTTGGTTTTCGGAAGAGCAGACTTCCAGCTCTCAGTAGCAGGAGAACGGAGGCCTCCAAAAGTAAAGTGGAAAAGAAAGATACAAAACTAAAATCAGAGAGGAAAAAAGAAAAGAAGAAAGCCGAAGTACAATCTAAGATAGAAAGCGAACTGAATAGGGGCACCAGGGTGGCAGATGGGCAGAGTTCAGACGACGGTGTGCGAGGCACCCATAATCTGAAAGCATCGCAAGACATTTATAATGAAATGAAGTTGGAGCCAAGAAATAAACCCAGCCCTGCTGTGTGCACAACAAAAGACGCCTTCATGATGGAACTTCTAAACAGGTAACACACTGGAAACAGAAAAGGGCAATGTCTAGGGGTCCCCTTGCTCCCCCAACCTAAGGAGAGCTGTGTACTTCCTGACTCTTAAATGCCAGTCAAGCATAGTCTCCATACACAGATAGTGTAGTCTCTTATACATTAGCTATAATTTAAACAGTGAAATAAAAGTTAGTAATAAAATGATAATTTAGTTCATGTTCCTTTCTTAACCAAGCCAATGGTCTTTGAAATTAAAGAATGGTGAGTTCCATCCAGGTTGATAGCAATTCAGCCCACACCAGGAACCACGAATGTACCCACATTGCATGAAATGGAAGAAAATTACACACACGTTTGAAAGCATGCCGCTTTCATTGATCGCACTGAGCAAATGTATACTTAGAACTTTCCAGAAGTAATTACTTTTCCTGCCGATCTTAAGCCAGAAATGTATTTAGCAATCACCCTTTGGCGTTTCATATTCTGCCCCTCCCCAAAAGCAATTATAAAAATAAAATAGAGACTATGGGGAGATGTCTCAGTCAGTAATGTGCTTGCCTTGCAAGCATGAAGACCTAAACTCCGTCTTCAGAACCCACATAAACAAAAGCCAAGCATGGTGACACATGCTTGTAATCCCATCTCAGAGGATGCAGAAAGAGACAGACCTTGGGCTTTTCTGGCCAGCCAGCCTAGCCTGCTGGGAAGTTTCAGGCCAATGAAAGATTCTATGTCATAAACACAAGGTGGATCTCACCTAAGGAATAACACACAAGAAGTCATCCTATAACTGTGTGTGTGTGTGTGTGTGTGTGTGTGGGTGTGTGTGTGTGTGTGTGTGTGTGTGGGTGTGTGTGTGTGTGTGTGTGTGTGTGGGTGTGTGTGTGTGTGTGTGTGTGTGTGGGTGTGTGTGTGTGTGTGTGTGTGTGTGGGTGTGTGTGTGTGTGTGTGTGTGTGTGTGTGTAAGCGCACGCGCGTGCGCGCTGTGTACACACCAGTGCACACAAACCTGTCTGTATGTGCATACACATAATAAATTAATAAAAAACTTATTATCCTTGCAAATCTAAAGTGACACCCTAGTGAAATACTTGTAGCTATTTTTGCTCAAGGCTAGAGAGAAACACTTACCACTGAAAGGTTTAAAGACAAAGAGCCACACTGAGGTTACCTTAAACATTAAAGGGCTGGGGAGAAGAGTGTGATTGAAACCGGCCAATGTAATTTATCAGAGGAATCACTTTCTACCTGCAGAGTTGATAAGAAAGCAGCTCTCCAGACAGAGAGTGGATCAAAGGGTGTTTCCTGCAGGAGCGTGTTAGAGGGCACCTCCCAGGGCTCCTGTTTTGCCAGCGGCTCTGTCAGCACTCAAGGAAGTCAAAAGAAAAACATCAAAACCAAAGTCGATATGGAAAAACCAAGAGAATCCCTGGTAAGCGCTTTTCCATGCTGGCTAGAAAAACACTTGGTTCTGAGATGTTCTGGTAGTGGTGGCAATCTGAGAAAAGACTGTTTTTAATCTATATCCTCCATTCTTCTCTCCCTCTCTCCCCCCTCTTATTTTCCCCTTCTGTGTACAGTTGTATGTATGCATGAATACCCATATGCTAACACTTGTGGAGATCAGAGGACAATCTCTAGTGTCATTCCTCCCCTTTTGCCTTGAAACATGATGTCTTGTTCATGGCTGCATACAGCAAGCTAACTGGCCCAGGAGGTCCTATGGTTCTCCTGTCTCCACACCCGGCCTCCATCTAGCTAGGATTACAGACATACACTACTATGACCATCTTTATATGGGTGTTGGGCATTCAAACTCAGGCCCTCACACTTACAGGGCAAGCATTTTAGCCACTGAGCCATCTGCCTAACCAGAGAGAAAAGATTTTTAAAGAAGAAAGAAACCCCCGTGACAACTGCTATAGGTGTCCCCTACATTTCGTATGGGCGTGGTTCCATCTGGGAATACTGCTCTCTTTGCGTCTATTTTCAGACAGTGCTATAATCTCAGTACATTGCCAGCAAGTGATGCTAGCAATGCCATCTTAGAACGATACCCAGTACTAGAAATTTGTTTTGATGATTCCGACATCAACAGCAACAAAAGAGAAACAGAACTGGAGACAGGAGCATGACAGATAACTTAAGAAAGTGTGGGCTATTTGGATGGTTTAAGTGCTGCTTATTTTTTATGAAGTTGTGCATCACAGGGCATCCTACAGAGATGGAGAGTGATGAGTACATAAAATGGTGCTTTGTTTTTGTTTTTAAATGTTTCCCTAGGCCAAGCTAGTTTCATGTGAGGGGTGTGTGTGTGTACGTGTGTGCACACACACACTCATGTATCAATATCTGATAGCCTGTCTTGGCTTCCTGAGCACTGGGATTAAAGGCATGTGCCACCACCACCCAGCTCATGTGATATACTTTGTACTTACTCTCCTTACAATTCATTATATGTGGGTGTGTTTGGATTCATGTGTTTTCATTGTTCCAGTGGATGTGTTTTATGGTACTCAAAACAGCAAAATACTCCCAGCATAAAATGCTTTAATCTGGTACTGAGGAGACAGCTTTTGCCAGACAAGCATACTGACCTGAGTTTGGGTTCCTAGCACTCACATAAAAATCCAGGCATGGTAGCATGCTACTATAACCCCAGAACTAGGCAGGTAGACACAGGAGGCTCTCTGGAGCTCACTGGTCACCAAATCTACCTCATTCAGTGTGTCCCAGGTTCAGTGAGAGCCCTTGTCTAAGAAAGACATCCAGCATCTGTCCTGTACACATACACGTATGCAAACATATATACATGTGCACACACTCTCACAATCTTGTACATACACTCCCCCGCCCAACACACACACTATAAGCTGGAAAATAATTGAGAAAGACATACAACATGGACCTATGGTTGCACACATACATGCATACCCAGTAAAAATATTCACAGGTACACTCATACTCTTGGGCGAAGTTGAGGTACTTAAGAAAAGAGATTTTAACAGCAGTCTTGATCAGTGTTTCCAAGTTGCTGAAGCTACACTTTCTCGGGTTGGGGTTTCACAAGCATGTCTGATACAAATACACACTGAAAATATTTCTGAGGGAGAACATTTTCTCCAAAGAGCTCTAAGGTCTTTCTTTCAAGCTGACTTTGTTCATTGCAGTGGTTCCCCCACCCCCATTTTAGCTCTGGCTCATATGACATCATACCTCCTTTGAAACATGGATGTTCCTTGCATTATAAAACCACACATTATAAGCATATCTGAAGCTGCCCTTGCAGTGTCACTGAAAGGAAAAAGAAAGAAGGAGCGTGGAGAAGCGTGCAATATGCTGGAAATTCAATCCTACTGATGGAAGGCTTTGATAGCCCAGCCGAGCCCCTTATCACAGGCACTCCATTTAACTATGTCCCATTTAATATGTCTCTGACAGCTTAGGGTCTATCTTCACTGTACAGAAGGACCAAAACAAAAAAAAGAGCCTGTATTGAGCTTTTACAATTTCATTTTTGTTTTCTTATTATTTCCTGATGCTTAAAGTAATTTAACGTGCTTTCCTTCCTCATCTGAAATCATTCTCAGAGCAAGAGTAGAAAGCCCTACCCTTCCCACATATCTGCAGGAAACACTCTTAATATTTTCTGTGAAGTACACAGATTACCTAACCAACCCAAGTATACAGAATCAATAGGGATATGCTAATTTTTCTTCTTAGCCAAGAGAGGAAATTAATCATGCAGAGAAACCTTATGATATAAAAGAATATTATTAACCTGGATTGATGACCAGCTGTGTCTGTATGCATCTTCATATGTTAGGCCTCAGTTTCCAACTTGATTGAGACAGGGTCTCTTGATTGCTGTTGTATAGTCTAGACTTGCTGGCCTGTGAGCTTCTGGGACTTGCCCTGTCTCTGCCTCCTATAGTATCAAAGGCACACTGTGTTTATGGCTTTTGAGAATCCAAACTGTCCTCATGCTTGTGGAGTAAGCACTTTTACCCATAGAGTCCTCTCCCCGGCTCATTCTTTAAAAATATAAAACATAATGTTATTATTTGTTTCTTCTGTTCCCATAGCCACATTTGTGAATTGGGCTAAGATTGCTACTTTCAGGAAGGACTGTGCTGTAGTCTCCTTTGAGATCCTAAGTAGTAAAGAATGCATATTTATCATGAATTACCATCCTATGTAGGAGATTAGATGCAAAATGAAAGATATTCTTAGACCATTGTTCAGTACTGTGAATAACCTTGGACCTTTTAAACTTCAGAGTTTAAGGGAGTTCTCCTTCTCTAGGGCTCAAGGTAAGCCCTCTGCTTACTTTAAAGTGGATTGCAAAAGAAATTTTCTCATAGTAGTTATTTAGTTGGAAACAATAGTGATAGCTAACACTATAGATGTCACAGCATTGTTGTTTAACCAAACGCTAATTCATTGTCAAGGAAATGCTAAATCAAGAGTTTTCTTCTTTTTGCCAGTCATGGTATTGAAGCTGGGACCTCACACACACCAAGCAAGTAACCTACCACTGAACAATAGCCTCAGCTCTAAAAACCCTACTCTAAAATCTCCCATCACAGTGCACCACTAGTCTTAACTTCAAACAGTGAGATTGCATTTATTCACAGGACTCCACAGGGCATTTTAACCATTTCAGTGTTTAGTGATTGTCTACATTTTCCTTTCTATGGCTGTGATAAAACACCCTGACAGAAAGCAACTTAGTGGAGAAACAGTTTATTATAGCTCACAGGTTATAATCTACTGTTTTGGAGAGGAAGTCAAGGCAGGAATGTCAAGCATCTAGTCTATCACATCCATGGGCAAGAGCAGAGAGAAATGAATGTATGCATGCTCACTTGATTGCCTGCTTGTTCTCAGCTCAGTTCCTCCACTCTCATACAGTTCCATACCCTCTGCCTAGGGAATGGCACTGCCCACAGTGGGCTGGTTCTTCCTAAATTAGCTATCTTTATTAAGACAGTTTCCCAACAACATGTACACAGGCCAACCCAGTGCTAATAACCCCACATTGAGAGTTTCTCTTCTAAGTAATTCTAGGTTGTGTCAAGCTGACCATTAAAACTAACAATCACTGGTGATAATAAAAGGAAGATTATTTGAATATATTTTTATACATTCACCAAATCCCTTTATTTCACAAACCACTTAGCTCACCAGTAACTGCATATTCCTTTTTAGTATAGTTAAGATAGAATGTGTGAAAGTACCAGCAATGCTTCACCAAAATAAATCCTTTTCTCTCTGTAGAACTTTAATTAAAGGCTTATGTCCCCACATCTGCCATCATTTGTAGGCCACTTAGCTCTAATTTTTTTGTGTGTAATTTAGACCAGGGCCATGTTCATTGGTGCTTAAAAATGATTTTATGTGTTTAAATGTAGGGCAGGGAAGACCACCCCTAGAAAGACTAGCCTGGGTGTGCTCTGCTTGCTATCAACAGCAAATTGTTCCTTCCTATGGGTTTAGATCATTTTTATGAATAGCAGTATTAAAGAAAGACAGAACCAGGCTCTTATTTAACACCTCCAGACAAAAATAAAAATTATTAACAAAACTGAGGGGATCACACACCTTCATAGGACATAGAAAAGAGATGGCCATTTTAACGCATATGTGTTAATTTAAATGATGGAATTTTCTTTCCCCAAGTGTCACCTCTTCTGAAGAAAATCACATCTGCTAATAAAAAAAATCATCAAACACCATCCCATTAAGATGGGACCACATAGATGAGATAGCAGAAAATAGTACCATAATTACACAAATGGTTATCATCTTATTAAGTCCTGCAAATGTAATAATTTCAGCATCCTTAATTGAATGATTCCATTCTAAATGCTGTTTTGATGCAAATAAGCAGCCTGCACATTTGCCTTCCTCTTCCTAAGTTTTCTAAGGAATGAACTATCCAAACATATCTGCTCACTCATTTTCCTTTCCAAAATCATGGTTTTGGACAGGGAATCTCTCTCTCACCCTCTCTATCCCTCTCCCTTCTCCCCGATCCCTATCTGTCTCATGGTACATTTGGAGGTCACAGCACACACTGGGGAGTCAGTCCTTGCTTTCCACCCTGTCTCAGGCAGGGTGTTTTCTTTGTTGTTCACAGCCCAGGAGCTTCTGGGGAGTCTCCTATCTCCCCAACCTATCTACCCACATGAGTACTAGAATTACAGACACTCAAACCAACTTGTCTGGTTTTTATGTGGATTCTAGAGTTTTGAACTCAGGCCCTCACACTTTCCTGGCAAGTGATTTTACTTTACTGAATTGTTCCTAGCCCTTTAGTGGGATTTGGTATAAAATTTTTATACTTCAGAAGCCCTGAGGGCTAGAGGCATTCGGAGAAGAAATATGTACAGAATTCCAAATGAGGAATTCCCCAAATATATAGTTTAATTGTGAAATCACATGTGTCTATCAGTTGGTGATGGGTTGTGTTATTGCTTTTGCCTCTTGTGACTTTTGCAAACTCATTTCCTCCTGCCCTTCTAGAAACTGGAGTTAGTCATGATGGAGGCAGTGACATTTACTGGTTGCATCCTGAAAGCTGATATCTAAAGCAGCTCTGGAGCCCCAAAATGGGCATGGGTTAAAGATACATCTTTAAGAGACAAAGGTGCCAACACTTGGGGTTTGAAAGTTAGCTGAGTCAGTAACTTGCTCAAAGACCTGAGTTCAATTCACAAAACCAATATAAAATGTCAGACATAGTAGCATGCACTTGTAATCCCAACACTGGGAAGGGAGCGATAGCTGCCCATCCTGCCCAGGCCAATGAGAGACTCTGCCTTAAAAATAAAAAGGTGGCCGGTACCTGAGGAAAGGCACCTGGACTCTGTAGGTTGATCTCTAGCCTCCACATACTCACAACATGTGTGCTTCTTTTTTAAAATTTAAATTAGAAACGAGGTTGTTTTTTATTTATTTTTTATTTGAATTAGAAACAAGATTGTTTTACATGTCAATCCCAGTTCCCACTCCCTCCCCTCCTCCCCTACCACCCCCCCCCAACTAAAACCCTACCTATCACATATCCTTTCTGTTCCCCAGGGAGAGTGAGGCCTTCCATAAGGGGTCATCAGAGTCTATGGTATACTTTGGGATAGGGCCTAGGCCCACCCCCATGTGTCTTGGCTCAGGGAGTATTCTTCTATGTGGAATGGGCTCCCAAAGTCCACACCTATGCTAGGGATGAGTACTGAATTACTACAGGAGGTCCTGTAGATTTCCCAGGTCTCCTCACTGAAACTCATGTTCCTGGGGTCTGGATCAGTCCCATACTGGTTTCCCAGCTATCAGTCTGGGGACCAAGAGCTCCTCATTGTTAAGGTCAGCTGTTTCTGTGGGTTTTACCAGCCTGGTCTAGACCCCTTTTCCCATCACCTGTTCTTCTCTGCAACTGGATTCCAGTTCAGTTCAGTGATTAGTTATGGGTGTCTACTTCTACTTCCACCAGGTGCTTCATGAAAGCTATAGGATGGCATATAAGACAGTCATCAATCTCATTATCAGGGGAGGGCATTTAAGGTAGCCTCTCTTCTGTTGCTTAGATTGTTAGTTGGAAACAATATTGTTTTACATGTCAATCCCAGTTCCTCTCCCTCCCCCCTCCCCTGCCCCCCACTAACACCCTACCTATCCAATACCATTTCTGCTACCCAGGGAGAGTGAGGCCTTTCATGGGTGGGGTCTTTCGAGTCTGTCATATCCTTTGGGATAGGGTTTAGGCCCTCCCCCATGTGTCTTGGCTCAGGGAGTAACCCTTTATGTGAAATGGGATCCCAAAGTCCATTCCTATGCTAGGGATAAGTACTGATCTACTACAAGAGGCCCCATTCACGAGGCCTCCTCACTGGTACCCACATTTATGGGGTCTGGATCAGGGGGCCAAGAGCTCCCTCTTGTTCAGGTCAGCTGTTTCTGTGGGTTTCACCAGCCTGGTCTTGACCCCTTTGCTCATCACTCCTCCTTCTCTACAACTGGACACGTGTGCTTCTATACATGAGTGCACATACATGCACACATACACACACACACACACACACACACACACACACACACACACACACACACACAAGAAACCATTATTTAAACCACAGTTGTTGGTCAAAAGCTACCTTGAACTATCTTTGGCAAATTCCCCATCTTGGCCTAGAGTTTTCTTACCTCCCACGAATGTTCCCACATTCTACCTACCTGCTGCATGATCAGGAATGAAAATTAATTTAAACTGGAGCCTGTGAAAATATAATTAGGAAGAGAATCTGATGCCAAAATAAAGAATACCCCCGACTTGCATAGACAAATAGATATAAATAATACATCCTCAGTATGCATTAAAATCTATTTGTGGATAAGTAGGGCTGGGAATGAGCCCTTCTCTGATACTGCCCTTTCCTCAGCTTGTGCTTCAACAAGGACACCTTTCAAACCCACAAGCCCTAACTTCTCCCTTTGGCTCATGTACTCTTTATAGATCAATAAGCCCAGAAAACTGAACGAACTCGGGGCCGATCCACAGGACCAGAGCCTTGGGTGAGACTAGAGCCACATGTAGCCCCGTCACAAAGTGTACATAATTGGTTTTATTCCATTAGGTGTGAAAAACTAGGAGGCTAAAGTAGGAAGCTAAATCTATTCCCAAGATCAGAATGCAATCAGATGACTTTCAACAGCATTTGGAATAAACTAATGGTGGTATCACTGTCACCCTGAGCCCCTGAGCAGATCCTCCAACAGCATCGCACAGTTCATGCTGTTGACGGCTGCTTAAGCGACCAGCTGTAATATATTTTAGAGGAGCTTTGGTGGAGGTTGACTTCGCCTGTCTTGATATTGAGACCATGTCCACACAGATGTAATGGAATGGGAATCTGAAAATTGTGGAGTTCCCTGTAAATGAGCACCAGCCTGTAGTCAGGCTTTCTGTGTTCACATCTCAGCTCCTCCATTTGAATGATGATGTACCGTCCCTACTGCCTCAGGGTGCATCTTTTTAGCTGGTGACAGCACCATTCCCTAGCATTAGTTCAAGCACACCAGGCCTGTGAGTAAGTCTTTGCAAAGCCTCTTCCATGGATAGTGCAGGTGTTGGCTGTTTTTGTATGTTTGCAGAAGGAGGATCACATGCACTGTGTGTGAGCATGCTAGAAAGGCTATCAATTGATCAACCTTAGTTATCTCTCCTTAGTCAGCATTGACATTGGGTTGGTTTTGAGACATGTCTCCCACTGGTTGAGGGTGGCTGCCCACTGATCCCACAGGAATCTGCCTGTTTCCTCAGGGCTGGAATTACAAGAATTAAAAACCCGTACCACCACACATGGCTTTTGTACATGGGTGCTTATGGGTCAAACTCAAGCCATCTTGCCTGTGTGGCAACCTCATTACTGAAAGATAAAGCTCCCCAACCCAGTCAGCCCTTTTGTGATCAGTGTTGTTGATGTCCATAGTGGCCCACTATTAGATTAGAAAGCTAAGGTTTTAGTGTTCCTCCAGTGTTGGGGCTTAACATGCGTGTGGCAAGTTTAAGAATCTTTCCAGCCCTCAGCACCCCATCTATAAAATACCGAGAGACTTCATGCATTTGCTCTAAAGTTCCTTTTGTTGGCTTTGCCATCCAGAGCTGGAATATTCCAGCTTAAAGGGGGGAAAACAGCTTTTTTAAAGACAGTGTCACTTGTAGCTCAGCCTGGGCTAAAATTATGTAGCTAAGGATGACCTGGAACTTTTATTGTTTTGCCATCACTTTGTGAGGGCTAGGATTTTAGGAGTGTGCTACCATGCCTGGTTTGTGTGGAGCTGGGACCAAACCCAGGGCTTGCTAGGCAAACCTTCTACCAACTGTGCAACATTCCCAGACAGGAAGAAATGTTTGTAACATGAGACTTGGAAATGTCTGGGTGATGCAGTTCACTGAGTACACATCGCCATCTCCTCATTCCATTATGGAAAGAATAAAACAAGACACTTTCTTAGAGAGTTATATTCTAGGAAAGGGTCATGAGACCTAAATATGTTTCAGCTGTAGTCCCTTATTCTTATTAAAAATAACTTATGGCAAAATCTGTGACTCAGGAGGAGTTATAGCTCCTTAAGACTTTAATGTTTTGTAATGCCCTGGTGTGAATGACTCCATTATAAAGTTTTAAAACCAAAGCGGCTAATCTTGAAATCGTGCCTAGAACCATGCGCCGTGTAAATCCTGTCGTTCAGAGCTGGGGTTGTAATTCTGGAAATGGGCTCTCTTAATTAAAACCTGTAATGAAGCCAGATGATGAAGGCAAAGTAGAATAAAGTATACACACAGGTTCATATTCCCCCACAGGTGCATACACTCAGTTACAGCGATGCACTTATTACAGAATGTGCCGTTGTTGTGAGGATTGCAAAAGATCTTTTGGAATAATGAATAAGAACTTCTAGTATCTTCTTGCTGCAGGGGGCAGAGGTCAATGAAGACTTACGAGAGGATGAAGAAGATAGACTTGCTGACTCTGCGCTTCAGAGCCACGTGCTAGGTAAACATCCCTGTGTTGCTTGTTTGTTTTTCCCTTTGATGCATTCTCTTGGTGCATTGCAAGGGGCCTTATCTCATGCCTCCCTCTAATGCAGTGGTTTTCAACCTTGGGGGGTTGAAAAACCCTTTCACAGGGGTTGCCTAAGACTATGGGAAAACACAGATGTTTACATTCCAATTCTTTTCTTTTAATTCTTTAATTACTACTCATATTTATATATCCATCCCCCCATTCCCTTGCCCTCCCATCCTCCCATGTCCCCACCTAGCCTCCCCAACCCACCCCCCCCAATTCCTCCCCAGGGATAGGGAGGCCCTCCACAGGGGATCTTCATAGTCCTTCATATCATTTGGGGGAGGGCCTAGGACCTGCTTGTTGTATCTGGGCTGCAATAGTATCCCTCCATAAGGAATGGGCTCCTAAAGTACATTTGTGCTCTAAGGATAAAGACTGGCTCCACTCTTAGAGGTCCCATAGACTGTCTTGGCTTCCTAGCTGGCACCCACATTCAGAGGGCTTGGTTTGGATCAATGCTGTTTCCCCAGCTTTATGATTAGGGTCTTCATGCTATCAGTAGGACAGGTCCAGTGTTTCTGCGGGTTTCTCCAGCCCTGTCTTGGCTCCTTTGCTCATCCCTCCTCCCTCTCCACAACTGGATTCCAGTAGTATGGTTCAGTGCTTAGCTGTGGGTACCTGTTTCTGCTTCGAACAGCTACTGGATGAAGGCTCTAGGAATGGCAACCAAGGTAGGAATCAATCTCATTATAGGGGAAGGTCATCAATGTCATCCACTCCACCACTGCCTAGCTTCTTAGTTGGGGTCATCCCTTGAATCCCCTAACATTTTCCACGTGCCAGACCTCTCTCCAAACTTGTACTGTCTCTATCAAGGCGTCTCCTTTCTTGCCCTCCTCTATTCCTCCCCTGTCTCAGTCCTTGTCTTGCTCCCCTCCCCCCTCCCCTTCTTCCCTTCTCACCTCCTTCCTCTCCCGCCTCCTCCCACTTTGGTCAGGGGTTTCTGTCCCCATCTCCTTCTTCGGGGAACTAGCTCCTCTGGCTGTGTGGATTGTAGACTGATAATCATTTGCTCTATGTCTAAAAACAAAAATGAGTGAGTACATACCATGTTTGTCATTTTGTATTTGAATTACCTCACTCAGGATGGTTTCTTCTAGTTCCATCCATTTGCCTGTGAATTTCAAGATTCCATTGCTTTTTCCACTGACTAGTACTCCATTGTGTAAATGTGCCACATTTTCCCTATTCATTCTTCAGTTGAGGGGCATCTAGATTGCTTCCAGGTTCTGGCTATTACAAATAATGCTGCTATGAACATAGTTGAATATATGTCCTTGTTGTATGAGTATGCATTCTTTGGCTATATGCCCAAGAGAGGATTTGCTGGATCTTGAGGTAGACTGATTCCCATTTTCCTGAGAAACCACCATACTGATTTCCAAAGTGGCTGTACAACTTTGCACTCCCACCAGCAATGGAGGAAATTTCCTCTTTCCCCACATCCATTTCAGTTCTTAACAGTAGCAAAATTATAGTTATGAAGTAGTGATGAACATAATTTTATGGTTGGGGTCACCCCAACATGTATTAAAGGGTTGCAGCATTAGGAAGATTGAGAACCACTGCTCTAGAGGGCAAGAGGTGGTGCGTTTGACTCAGAAAGGTTAGATGCCATATTAGTTACTTTTCCCTTTGTTGTGAGGAAATATCTGACAAAAGCAACTTGAGGGAAGAAGGGTTTTTCTGAGGGTCACAGTTCAAGGGTACTGTCCATCATGGTGGTGAAGGCGTGGTTGCAGGAGCAGGAGGCAGCTGCTCATACCACATCCCCACTCAGGAAGCAGAGAGCTGAAGCCTGGTGCTGAGCTCGCTTTCTCTGTTTTACTCAATCTGGGACCATAGCATGGGTGTTGCCCCTTTTAAGGGGTCTTCTCAGCTCAAGTAACCTAATGTAGATAATCTCTCATGCAGAAGTTAACTGATCTTGATAATCCCTCCCAGACATGCTCAGAAGCTTGCCTCTTTGTTGACCCTAGGTCCTGGCAAGTTGACAACATTTACCATCACACATGCTATCATGAAACAAGTAGATTGGGCCCGGGCTTGGAGCTATCTCAGTTGATGGAGTCCTTGCTTGGCACTCACAAGGTCCAGGGTTAGATCCCTAGTACCACAAAAGGAAAGCAAAGCAAAAACAGTGAAGCTCAGTGTCTCAGAGCCATACCTGTGAGGAAAACATGGATGTTTGCAAAGGAGTACACTGTGAACTAGTGAGGAGTTTGTGCTTCTGTCATATAAATGCAAGTGACACTGGGAATGAATGACGTTTTCTTTTTCTAAGTAGAGAATCAACTTTCAGAAAATTGCTTTCTATAATGGGCTCAAGAAACAACTAATACAGGTGTCTATTGATTACAAATATAGTGTGGTGGCTTTCTGAAATGGAACATGTTTAAAAATTTGGATGTTTCACATATAGAAGTGTCTTTAGTTTCTTGCCTGCTGCTATGATGAAATATTCTGGCCAAGCAACTTCTGAGGGAGGAGAGGGTTCGTTTATACAGCTCACAGTTCAGAGGTGCAGTCCACCATTGTGGGGGAGTCAGAGCAGCATGATCTGAAAGCAGTTGGTCACATTACATCCAATGATGAGAGTGATGAATGTATGCATGGTTCCCATCTCCATTTCTCGGCTTACACGGTCCAGGATCTTCTGCCTGTGGAGTAGACCAGCCCACAATTAAGATGGGTCTTTCCACATCAATCCGTATACTCCCCAAAGGCACAACAAGAGATAGTCTTCCCAGATGACTCTAGATTTTATCAAGTTGAAAAGTAACACTGACCTTTACAAAACCCAAATATAAAATAACTAAATTCACTTGCCAAAATCTTAAACACAGTTTCTTCATCATTTGTGTTGGAAGCCCTAAATATAGACAGACATGCATTAACTTTAACTTGTTAGGTGGGTTTTTTTTTAATAGGGAAAAATGTAATTATTCAGAACATCTGATTTTGTTGGCAGAGGTAAAATGAATCCACAAGGACACACCAACAGTTAGCTTCCTGCTCCCAACTCCCTGAGAGCTCTACAACCATAAAACCAGCCTAGTTGTGTGTCTTGTAGTTATGCATAACAGCAGACATGAAAGAATACACATTTGCAGTAAAGTAGGATTCAAGTGCCCTGTTTCAGATCCTCGGAGGAGACCATGATAGAGGAGAATTCTGTGACTTTGATCTTTGTGAGGAGACTGAGGAAGCAACTAATTTTCAAATCCCCAGACCTCCTTGAATGCTTGTGGCATTCAATGTTCTTCAGGAGCTATCAGAAGATGTGAAAGTGGGTTTGCTGGCTAGTCACCACAACATGGGATGATGGGATGGATAGCTCCAGATCCCATGTAGGTGTAGCAGACAGTACCAATGTCTTAGTTTCTCTTATTACTGAGATAACATGCCCTGACAAAAGCCACCTTTGTTCTGGCTCGTGGTTTGAGGATACAGTCTATCATGGTGGTGAAGGCATAGCAGCAGGAGCTTGAGGCAGCTGGCCCCATTGCACCCACCCTGGGATATAAAAGAACAATCTCCTGCTGTTTGCATGCTGGTGCTCTGCTCCTCAGCTCCTTTCTCCAGCTTTTGCAGTTCAGGATCTCCTGCTCAGGGGACAGCCCCACCCACAACTAAGTTGGGTCTTCCTGCATCAACATAATCAAATAATCCTCCAGGATGCTCAGAGGCTTGCGTTCTCAGGGGATTCTAGGTTCTCTCAAGTTGAAAATTAACACTAACCATCACAATTAAATATTAAGTCCCAACACATGACTCCCTTGCAGGTTGGCCAGTATCCATGATTCTTTGTATCCATTGCTTTCCCTGGGATGCCCTTAGCAGCCAACTCCAAGCACTACCCACTCTGAGTGCCCTATTTTTCCAGCATCCCCAGCCATCTTCAGCGAACTATAATTTACAGTGTGTCTCCAAGTGTTGTTGTACCCATTCAGCTTAATGAGAGCAGCACACAATTATTATTCTTTTCATTGGCAATTAGGAATACAAAAGTCTTCACAAACAGCTGAATGAGTGTAGTCTGAATCAGATTATTATTCCAAGACATCCTTTTATTATGGTTGTCAGTGTGAATGGATTTAATTGGTACCAGTTCAGCATAGTTAGCTAATATGCAAGTTAAATATGGTTTAACAGCCTTCAAACATGATAGTCTGTAAAGCCCTGCTGAATCTCCTTTTTCCTATAATGAAATTCTTGTGCCTATAAAAAAATATCCATAGCAGTCCAAATGTGCACAAAGCTCTAGGTTCAATCCCCATCGTTGTGAGATTTAAATTACATTCAGAAGGTCAGGGAGTGTAGTTCAGTTGGGAAGAGTGCTTGCCTATTAGTCATAGAGCATTGTAACCCACCTCTAGCATCACATAAACCAAGCACGGTGCTGTACTCAAGGTTATCCTTTGCTACATAGTGAATTCAAGGCCTACCTGGGTTATATAAAGATTGAGTCTCAAAACATAACAACAACGACCATAACTTAAAAGAGAAGAAGAAGAAAAAAAAAAGCAGAGAAAGAAGCCCCAGTAACAACACGAATACACACATGTATACACTCAAATATAATATTAGAGGCTGACTTTCTGCTGGAGAACTACTAAAATAGTGTAAGTATTGTTAGTAGACTAACAATTCCTTTTAGATTGCCACCAATTTTTATGTTGGAATCTTCAACTATAATTAGAACAACACAAAATTTAGTCCCTCAGTCATACTAGCCAACCTTCCGGTAATCCTTTAACTTCAGATTCTACACAAAAATCTCCTTTGTCAACACTCTGCTGAGTGACAGTGCTTTAGAATACTGATGGGAGTCACCTAACTATGCTTCTGACAAGTTGTCTGTGTCATCAGGTCACTGTAGACCCTTCTTCATAGTCATAACAGCTTTGTAAATGAAATGCTGT